GGGGATCTGTCTTCTTTGTATTGCGTGTTCCATTAATCAACGTGTGAATGTAGTGTAATGCGTGTTGTGTACATATACAGAAAGTAAAAATGTTTAGTGTGTAGATTATTATTAATAATAACACCATCAGTAATTGAACATTTTTAATTCCTGTTGATTTAATGTCCGATTATCAAACATACATTTTATGATGTCGAAAATCAAATGTTTGATTTATAACTCCATTTTAAAGTGTGCAAACGTAATCTTTCTAACACTGGAAATGTATATTTGTTGATAATTTTGAAGTTGCTTAAAACGTCGATAATTGAAAAGATATTAAATCACTTTCTTACATGTTTTCGATTATTGAACATAGAAAATTAAAGCAGCAAATATGAAGCGACAGAGTTTCATTTATTAAAGGTTACATTTCCACGTTTTCAGAAGCATGGATTCAGTAGAAGCAAATGCTGGGATCGATTTCCACACAGTGCATCATCGGCATGGTTCACTCGCTCGTCAATGCTTGTGAACTGCCAGACGTTCAAGACAAGGGCCCCCTCTTCAGTATGCAACTTAAGCGTGACCATCAAAACAATGGAGAATACGAATGAGGCGTGGTATAGAGCACAAGCGTGACGTAACAAACCAAAGGTGCACTGCGCATCACGTGGTCGCGTAAGCCACGCTCATTCGCACGTGCGCATCTGACGTCACCGCTGACGTCACTATCACGGTGCCTCCAGGCGACGCGCAGAGCCACGCGAACAGCCGCCATGATGACCAACCAGGTGCTGCACGCCATCATCTGGTGCGTGCTCAACGACTGCTTCGGGAGTCGAGGACGAGGAGAGAAAGGAGCTCCCGCCCCTCGCCAGCATCCCTTGCGAGCTGCCGAGCTGTGGGAAGCCGTCCGTGGCCATCCCGGCAGGGGATGCCTTCTGGCTCGGGATCTCGACATCGTTCGTACAACGTTTGTACAACGTTTCATGTACACACTCCACTTCATCCAACGTTCATATGAACCTTATGGCAGGACCCCGGGGTCCCATAAGCCCCCGGCTCTCGCATAAACTGCGCCGCAACGTCATTTTGTTTGTTGAAGGCGAACGACACGGCAATCTATTCCTCTCGACGAGCCCTACACGATGCGCTAATCAAAGTTTCAAAGTTGTCTTAATGACTACGGCGATTTTGGCAACGACAGGTTCTTGGTGAAGAACGAGAGGATTGATTTCTGGTGGGTCGCGGCGTTTGTGCGCGCGGTGGGATGGAGTCGCCAAAAATAAAATAATTACAATTTTGACTTACGTTTATTCGGGACCCCAGGGTCCCGCCATAAGGTTCATGTGTAGATTTGAAGCTTTCGTGACTCCAAGGATCCATACTCTTTGGTTCTATTAGGTAAAGTCACGTAGGTAAAAAATAAAACAACAAAAATCACGACATTTCGGCCACAACACAAGCGGCCTTCATCAGGTGAAGGGACCAGGCTGTCTCGAGGACTCCAGCGCTGTCTTCGAGACAGCCTGGTCCCTTCACCTGATGAAGGCTGCTTGTGTTGTGGCCGAAACGTCGTGATTTTTGTTGTTTTATTTTTTACCTACGTGACTTTACCGAATAGAACCAAAGAGTAAGGTTCATGTGGCTATGTGCGTGTCTGTGAGTCTCTGTACACGTCAGAGATGATCTCCCAAGCAATATTGAGGGAGGGTGACGTTCATGCGCATACTGCCCTAAATGACATCATAATAAGTCTGGACCACTGGATGGGTTCCGCAGGATTGGATGGATGCCCTGGTGATCCCCTCTTTAAGAAGAGACCACACAGTAACTACATTATAGGTATCTCACTCCTCAGTGTGCCAGGAAAGGTCCTGGTAAGGATTATTCAACATTACCTTGCCAGGCACGCTGAGGAGAGGCTTGCTGAGCCCCAATGTGGTTTCAGGAAAGGGCGGTCCTGCACATATGCCATATTTTATGTCAGTCTGCTACAGTAGAGGTGAAGGGAATTCCAACAAGACCGATACATCTCTATTATTGACCTGGTCATGGCCTATGATACCATCAGTAGGTCTAGGCTCTGGGTTGTGCTTTCAGAGTCCCTGACTCTGCTCACAATAATTAAGGACCTTCATGATGGCGAGCAGGCCCGGGTAAAACTACGTGACCGGGAGTCTCAGAGCCATTCCTTGTTCATCTTAGGGTACAATAAGGATGTGCTCTGGCTCTCACATTATTTAACACACATTTCGACCACTTAGTTCGTGAAGCCTTCGATGGCTGTACAAAAGAAATTTCCATCTGGTACAGATACAATGGGAGGCTGATCAATGCCCTGGTGTGGTCAAGGGATGGCTCCCTATTGGCCAACCATGTTTTGTATGCCAATGATCTGGTGATTGCTGCTCACTCAGGGGAGTTGGAGGCACTGCTTCTGAACCTAGAGCGTGCCACTAAGAGGTGGGGCCTTACCATCGAATCCACCAAAACTAAGCACCTGCCTGGGTGTTTTGTACCTTTAAACACTCCACCCCACAATTCCCAATTGGTAAGAGGGTAGTTGTGAACAGAATGGAGAGTTTTTCCATGCCTGGGCAGTGTGCTCATGACTGGCTCCGGTTTTACAGCAGAGGTCTAACTCCAAATCAGTCGAGTGACATTATCTTTTCATCAGCTGCATAACACTGTGGAAGCTACAGGCTCTGTCGCTCCACATGAAGCCTTGGGTCCTCTCGGCCATGGTCATGCCCTCCCTTCTCTACACTTGCAAAACGTGAACCCCCCTAATGGAACATCATCGCCGATTACAAATCTTTAGGCTGCCTACGGTCCATCCTGGGTTTAACAAGGCTGGATTGTGAGCTCACAAATCCTTGAAATTATCTGGACAAAGCCCTATCGGTGAGCTACTCCGGCAAGCAAGGCTGCGTTGGCTGGGTCAAGTAGTCCGCATGCTAGAGAAGAGATGGAATGACGTGGAGCAGAGTGGACTTGCTGATTACTGGTACCAGCGGTGTCGAGATCAGCCTCTGTGGAGGAGGCTCATCAAGGACGCTACTGGACAGTTGGAGGCAGTCGCCCTCCAGCAGCAACGGAGGGCAGAGGAGCGATGCTCACAACAACGAGCAGAGCACCGGGCGGCTAAAACACAAAGTTGATACAGTCGGGGGCACAGGTTGTGCGTCGGTCAGTCATCTCAGTCAGTCGACCCGTGGCACCTGGATCTGCCCCGTAACCTGCCAGCGGGCATTCGACACTTCACGTGGTTTTAACGAGCACATAGCCTGGCACGGGCTGTGGTGTCACCACCACTAAGCGAATGGTGGTTGTTGTACATATCTCTGCGCGATTATGGGTTTCTATGTGAGTGCGTACGTGTCTTTGAGTGTTTGTGGGTCTCTGTGGGAGTCTACAGATCTCAAGTGTATATGGGTGTGCAAATGAATGTACAATGAAGGACGTCCATTGCTCCTAACCTCTCCTCGTAGTTACTTTTCCTTTTAAGGCAATGTTATTGACCAATGCATTTAAAGTTATATGGGGGCTACACGAGTCGTCAGCCATGATCAATTCACTGCTGGATGAAGTCCTCAAACCCGTCGCCATCTCACAATCCTGCGATGTTGCCACTGCACCTAGAATCTGCACACGCGGTCTCTGTGGGGCTTGTCGGCTTTGGCCTTCTTCAAGGCTTACTTTGATTGCTGCCACTATTCTTTTTTGGTCAGCCAAGTCATGCCCGTGTATAGTGAGAGGGCAATCGATACCAAAACTTGGGGCGATTCAAGAGGGTTGGTTTGTCTTTAATTTGTAGACAAACTCTCCCTGCCTGCTTTAACACCATAGCTTATATCTGCACAACACTGCGTGCTTACAGTATACCACAGGACGACCTCTTTGTCCCGACACTCACCAGAGCCTCCGCGTTCCCAAAAGACTCACACCTCCTTAAGGCACGTTTAGCCTGAGATGGCGTTTACCACCCACTTTTGGGTTATAAGAAACCCGACTTCAAGTTGTAGCTCGACACCGCCTCCCAGCGCTCCTCTGCTCGTACCTGCTCCCCACTAAAAATCACAGGGACTGTTCATTAGACCCTGGTGCATTACAAAAATATATTTAATTTAATATCCCCACTCAAACCCCACAGTCTTGCCGAGCTGCAATTTACAGCTGGAAGCTTGGATGTTTTCTGGGACCACTCCTGTTCCTTGCTGGCTGGAGTCTTGCTTCATTCACCCTCCACTATCCTCTGGTGAGGGGTCGTCCCTGTTTATAGGAAGCCAGCCACACTAATGGTGATTGACACCTTGTTTCCTGCAGGTGGTTCTAATCTTCAATCACCCGCATTCCCTTGTACAGGTGGACCCCACCCTCCATTGTATTCTGCTTTGCAACTTATTGGTGCCATGTGACAGTCTCTATGCAGATCTTTTACCCTGTGTGAAAGGGTGTTACTTTGTCCGTGTGGGGAGTGGTAGTGTAGTGGTTAGCACACCGAGATCGATCCCCAGTCACAGCCAACACCAGTGAAGTTTATGTGACCAAATCTGGGCCTCCGCCTATGTCGATTCTGCCTCAAATAAGTACCTGGTGCAATGGAGAAACATTGCCACTGGGAAGTTAAGGGCGGCCAAGCATTGTGCTGTCCACCCATTCCTTCGTGTTCGGTGCCGGCCTTCAAAGTTGCTAGCTAACATCACTGACCTCGAGAGTCTCTTCAGGCTATATGGGGGGGGGGGGGGGTCTTTGTATCTGCCTGAGGGAGTGATATTGTAGTGATTAGCACACCGTGATAAGAATAAGACATGATTTCGAATCCTGATCACGGCCAACATATGTGATGAACATCTGAACCGGTCTTGGGCCTCCCATGCGCGTGATGTTTACTCGTCGTTAGTTACATCTATGTATGCGGAACTTATTTCACACTGTACATAGCCATCCGTGCTAATCGGTGGTACGGAATAATCCCAGAATCTCTGGAAGAAAAAAAACATCCGAGTCTGATGGCAGGACAACAACGGGAATGTGTCCGTTGCTGTAGATTTATTTAATCGTCTGCCACCCATTTCCCCTTTCGCAGCATTACAACGGGAGATCTCATCGGAGAGGCTGGAGGACAACATGGCCTCCCAGGGCAACCTCTCCCAGATCGACGACCGCGTCACCACCTCAAAGGCCTCCAAATCAGACGCAGAAACCCGCGGTGCCGAGTGCTGGAACCTTTATCCAAAGGTCATCATTCTCCAGGACGGGCCGGTCTCTAAGGGGAATGAAGGCTACAAATTTGTTGTTCACCAGCACCGGTCGGCCAGCATCACCCCCACCACCTCTGCCACAACTACCGCCACCCACTGTCACCCCCACTGCCATCGCCACCACCACGACCCCCACTGCTATCGTCATTGCCACCTCCATGGCCACCATGCCCACTGCCGCCAGATCTCCCTCAGTTGCCAATCGTCCAAAATGGTGGAAGAAACTTTCTAAATTTAAGTGCCAGCACCGGGTCGGCAACCACCACCACACCCACAGCCATCGCCACCGCCACTGCCACCCCCACAGGCACCCCCACAGCCACCATGCCCGCTGTCGCCAGATCTCCGTCAGTCACCACTCGTCCCAAATGGTCGAAGAGATTTTCGAAATTTAAGTGCCGGCACCACAGCCATCGCCACCGCCAATGCCACCACCACAGCCACCATCCCCAAAGCTGCCCAATCTCCCTCAGTCACCACTCGTCCCAAGTGGTGCAACAAATGTTAGAAAGAGGCATTGGCCAGAGCCCAAGGACTTGAGGATGAGGTGCGGCTGCCCATCTACTTGCCGCCATTCAACCCCTTGGACTTCTGCATGTGCATCCCCTATTTGGACGACGCCTGCAGCCTGTACCTGCAGCCTGTGACGGCAGCCTGTGACTGCAGCCTGTGACTGCAGCCTGTGACGGCAGCCTGTGACGGCAGCCTGTGACTGCAGCCTGTGACTGCAGCCTGTGACTGCTGCTGTGCACCGACTTCAAGGCTGCTCCACCGCTTCTGACTTTCGGCGCTGCAGCCGGAGTGCACACGGTGGCAGGACTCGAGCCGAGTGCCACTGAGCAACAGCGCCTCGTGCCGCGGGCTGCCGGGCGGGGTCCCTGGACCCTGCGCTACGCTGGGGGGTGCGGGTACCACCCGGCGTGGCGCTTCCAGCTTCTACACCGCGTGCGCCAGCGAGAGACGATGCTGCTGCTGCTGGTCCCCGTGACCGGCGGCTCTGGCCGGATGTTCGCTGTGACCCCCCGCTGCTCACTTAAGGCGCCATCGCCAAGACGCAACGCTGGCTCAAGGAGTAGGAGGAAGAACTCATCTACCAACCCTCTTTGGCTGTGACCAAATGCCTTCTTCGTGTCGTGTCTGCGACTGAACATTTTAAAATAAACCCGCGTTTGTCGGATTGAATACATATGGCTGATGCCTGTGGTATGTAGATCTTGTTTCGTGCCATTACATTGCCAACCGTGCTCATAATCGGAGGTGTTGCGCTGTGATATCCACTTGGGAGTCAGGACAGAAGGAGTTTGCTGTGACGAGGGCCATTAGCATCTCACAGCCTGATCACGATAAAAGATAGCTGATACGGCTCGTATTCATTCATAACATGCACCTGGGTGTGCATGTGTTTGCTTCCAGTGTTGTTACGTTAAAAGTTTCCCTTCTGTAAAATCATGAAACTTTAATCTAACCAGGTAAATCCCACCGAGCTATTCGCTTTTTTCAGAGATGACCTGGCCACATATAATAACTCATTGAAGTGGCTGATAGCATAACCACACGTGGGAATTCATAATCACAGCCAAATAATCTAAATGTATGTTTTATAAATGTGGGGGGAAAATGGGAAGAACTGGAGAATTATCCACACGCCCAATCATTGGGAGTGAACAAGCAACCTCCCACTACAGCCATCGTCAGGGTCGAGATCGAACTTACGACCTCCTGCAGAAGAGGCGAGGGAGACGGACACCTCGTCACCACAGTGATACCCCACTGATGTAAACCACGAATCCAGCAACGAGGTGGTCGGGTTAGTAGAACACATAGGTTGACGCGTGGTGACAATCATGTGCATCAAACATCCACTCCCTTGGCTAGAAAGACTTTCTCTCAGGGGCAGTCCAGCAAATAGGTCGAGTGATCTCCCCGCCTGTGTAGGTTTTCTCTGGGCATTGTTTTCACCCCCACAACACACACACAACACACACATGATCTGTTATCGAGGAATTGGCAAAAAAACTGTCCTGAAAATAAATCTTAAACATGTAACATTGGACTTCCTGAGTAAAACTTTCAAGTGACTCAACTGGTGGAATCCGTGACCAGTGCCTCTGATGCCACCACACCTTTTTCCTCGTCCAAAGTCCCCCAGACCCCACAACTCTGGAGTTGGCGAATGCTGCTGGGCCACTTCTCTCGTGGTCCCGATCGCAGCTTGGTAGTCGACTACGCGCTCTGAGTGATGGCGCTGGTCGTAGTGTTGCTGCCGCTGCCGCTGGTAGTTGTGTTGCTGCAGATAGCATTGCTGCTGTGGCTGCAGCTGCTCATTGTTTCTGCTGCTGTTGCCATTGTTGATACGGACATTACTGCAGCTGCTGTTGCAATTGCGACATGCTGCTGCGGCCGTTACCGCTGCTGCTGCTGCTGCTGCCTCAGAGGGACGTCCACCACCATGAGATCCTCCGCCAGCGTGACCTGGCACCGGGCTCCGTCTCCGGCGAGCGTTATCCGCGCCTCGGCCTGCTCGCGCAGCCGCGCCGCCTCCGGCCCGCCAGGCCGGTAGCGCTGGCTGAGGTGCGTGAGCAGCAGGCGGTGGGCGCCGCACGCCAGCGCCGTGGCGGCGGCGCCCGACGGGGTGGAGTGGCCGCGCAGGCGGGCCTTCTCCTGCAGCCCGTCCTCCAGCGTCGCCTCATGCACCAGCAGGTCGGCGCCCTGCACCCGCCACAGAAGGGAAAGATTCGTGGGGCCCAACGGTGGCGAGATGTTAACTACCTCGCCTGGTATGCAGGAGGTCGTGGGTCCGATCTCGACCCTGATGCCTGCTGTATATTTGGAGCTTGCGTGTCTCTCTTACCGTGGTCGCGTGGATTTTTCTCGGGGTCCTCCGTCTTTTCCCTCCGAATTTAGAATCAAAATGCATTCAGAGTATTTGGCTTCTATAGTTCTCCACGTAATTAGCCACTTCGTTGAGCTTTCATTTGTGGCCAGGTCGCTTCTGAAAAAGAGCTGTACAGCTCAGTGGGCCTCACCTGGTAAAATAAAAATAGTTTTTAGTTTATTGCCCATAATAAAAAAATGTGGGTTAGATCGCGTCAATATGAATGCATCGTTTAGTAAGGTTTGTCGCGTAAACAAAACATGCCAATTAGTTACTAGTGTTGTAGAGTAGATCCACAACATTTACAATTCAAGATTCCCCCCTCAACGGACTGTTGGGGCAAGTGCTGTTAGCGAGCACCTGTTAAGCCCAGCGAGGCACGCGATGGGACGGGTGGCCTGAACCACGCCTGGTCACCTTTATCTCCCCTGTGGGGATGATTACACATCGCACCAGGTACTGTTTGAGTCGACCTAGGGGAGACCCAGCACTGGTTTAGATCATTAATTATCAATGTTGTTGGCCGTGAATCCAACGCGGGTCACCGGTTGTGCAGCACGGTCTACGAATCGCTGCGCCGCCGCTCCGCACATGCACCCACACACACTAAAGGGGCAGAGAGGAGTGGGTCAATTGGTGTGGGTGCAAGTGTAGCGTTTAGCGTTTGGAGAGTGGTGGTGACGCAGTGGTTTGCACACTGCGCCGGTGAAACCTGTTCGATTCCCTAACATCAGTGGCTGGTATCTAAACTGCTCCTGAGTCTCTGCTAGGTACCTGGTGTAGTGTGTATAAACAACATCCCTCCGTAGGCGTGGTGGCAGCCACACCACCCCTCCATGTGGCGACCCCGGCCCTAACGCAAACACTTGGCGGGACCTTCCTGAAAGAGTCTTGAGACCCAAGCAAGGTTTTCCTGGTTAAACAAGCGGACTCTTAACAACAAGAGCCGCGCTTGCTGTTGTTGTTGTTGTTGTCCGCGTGGTTGCGTGGAGCGTCACGCACCTGGCACAGCCTCAGAGCGGCGGGTCCCAGCGGCTCCGAGCAGTCGCCGAACACGGCGACCAAGCGGCCGGGCACGGGGGGGTCCGCCACCTCTCCCGGTAGCAGCACCCTCCCGCTCGGCAGCGTCACAGCCTCGCCCGCCTTCAGGCGGCCGTACAGGGGCCCTGGCGGCACACCTGAGGGGAAGGGGGCGGCACATCGCGTCAAGAGGGGCCACGGGGGCACGGGCTCCCTGCGTCAACACCGTCACCCGCCGCCCATCCTCACCCACCAACCTCAACCACGAACCTCACTCGCCAACCTCACCCTCACTCATCATCCACACCCACCAACCCCACGCACCAACCTCACCCTCACTCGCTATAACTCGCTACCCAACCAATACCAATGAAGCGACGGTGACATCACCACGGTGCCTGTGGCAGGCCAGGTGCACTTTGAGGCCACCAAAACTCAACCGCCACCACCCTCAATCAAGAGAAGCCCAGGCCCGGTGCCTAGGACCCACGATGTCCCCCCCCCCGCCTGCCCCCCCCCTTCCCCCCGCCACCCCCCCTCACCGAGCCCGCGCAGCGCCTCCACGTGGAGTCGCCCGGCCCTGGGGGGCTCCCTGACGGCGTAGCCGAAGCTCGGCACGCAGTGCCGCAGCGGGAAGGCTCGCACGGAGGGGGCGCCGGGGCCCCCCTCCAGCACGAGGAACCCCTCCTCCTGGGGCCCCTCCGTGATCTCACGGCCGGGCTCCTCCTGGGGGTGCGGGGGCCCCTCTGCCTGCAACGCACAAAGACGCCCCCCTCAATCCTCAACAGGCCTCTGGGGCGAGCGCTGCTGAAGACCGGCACGGCACACGAGGGGGTGGGTGGCCAGCACCACGGCCGGCCGCCTTCGTCTCCCCAGTGGCGATGTTCACACTCCGCAACGGGTTCTTATTAATTTGAGGCCGAGTCAACCTAGGGGAGGCCGAGGACCAGTTGAGATGATCGGGACTGGCGTTGGCCGTGAGCGGGAATCGAACTCGGGTCGCCGAGTTCGATTCCACCACGCAATCGCTCCTTCCACATACAGGTGCACATGCACAAGCCTTGTAAGACACACAAGCTGCATAATTTAGTTAAATTAGACTTTTGTGAAATAATGAGCGTACAACTTCCACTTAACTTCATTTTAGGCGTGTTTTTTTAAATCATTACAATCGTGAGCTTTTACTTTTTTATTTATTTTAGAAGCATACCAGTTCGAGCCTATGCTCGTCTCACAGGGCCCCGAGCACCGTTTAGGACCATAAACTTTTGCTGAGTTTGCTCGCCTCGCGCTACCAGCTCTCCTCCACCTGTGCTGCTGTGTCCACCCGACCGCCACGTCCACCCATCATCCTACCGCACCTCCTCCGGCGGCCTCCAGTCGCCGCCGTCGGCCGCGCTCCACTGCCGCGCGGCGGGCCGCAGCTCGTGAACGGCGAAGCGGAACCCCAGCTGCGAGCGCGACAGCTGCAGTGCCACGCGCAGCAGGCGCCTCAGCCCCACGGGGCCAAACACCTCCAGCTGCGGGGGCCCCGCGGCCACGCGGGGCCCCTCGGCGGGGGCCTCCTCGTCCTGGGGGGCCGCCGCGTCAGCCGTCCCGAAGGCCAGCATGCTGAGCGAGCACATGAGGCCCGGCAGGCCGAACACGTGGTCGCCATGCAGGTGGGTGATGAAGATCTTGGTCACCCGGCCTGTGGTGGGGAGGACACGGATGATGAGGTGAAGGTGTTGGTGGTGGAGGAGGTGGTCGAGGAGGTGGTCGAGGAGGACACGGAGGTAATGGAGGTGGTGCTGAGCTCCGAATGGACCGTAATTCTGGTGTCTGCTTCGCTGGCTTCACGATGGAGCACGCGGAGTGCTGCTGGGCTATAGGGTCAGGACACTGGCGTGGACTCACTGACGACTCAATGAGCAGCACGTGGATGCCGTGTTACTCTGAACCACCGCCGCATTCTCCAGATTAAAACACGCACCCTCTAACTTGTGCAATTACCGCGGGCAGGGTGGAGGCTGGGATGCGTTTGACAATTCAGGGAATACGGTACGCCCATCCCGAAGTGGAAGCGGCCTCCACTAGAGGGGGCTCTAGAGATAGCCCCTCTATGCAGCATAATACGGTGACGCTCTTTATTTAAACAATAATCGCGGAGTCTCAGGAGGCTTCGACGTTTGAGACATTTGGCCACGAATGCCACTGGCAAGAGTTTGGGGGGTCATGGGGCAAGTGACCACGGCACCAGGGAAACCCGCCGCTGGGAACTCCGCACAGATGGATCCAACCCACACGTGTGCCGCACTACCATCTGCTGGTCGCCTCGCAGTCCAATGAGCCTAGCAGGTGGGAAGAGCAGTATAGTCTCTCGTCTTCTCACCTGACAGGCTCACCAGTGGCGACATCTCCTCCAACTCGTCCGCTATGTAAGACTGCAACAGGAGGAAGACTCCTTCACTATTCTGGCAATTCGCCTGATGAAGCCGACTGCTGCTGCCGCTGCTGTTGCTGTAATCGCCAGCGAAACGTCACTCGAATTGTAAATGTTGTGGTGGATTCACTCTCCAACACACAATCGGTGTGCTGTCGTAGCAACTCAACGACACGGTTTTGTTTACGCGACAGACCTTACCAATTGGCTGTGTCGGGTGCTGGTGGTGGTGCTGGCGGGTTTAAAGAGACATTAATTTTTACGCGATACAACACAAAACACCTTAATCCCCCCCCCCCCCAAAGTAGTTCACAGCAACAGTCTAGGGTGCGTCTTATAAACCGGGTGGCCGTGTGCGTGAGACACGAGGTTGTGTGGCCTGTCACTGACGCACGAGTCGAGCGCGTCTTACTTTCCGGAGCGTCTTACAATCAATCCGGAGAAGACGTTCGCGGACACCGCCTTGTTGCTACTGCTCCACGGCCTTGTGTGCTTGCGTTGATCTAAACCGGTCCTGGACCTCCCCTAGGTCGACTCAGTCGCAAACGAGTACCTGGTGCGGTGTGTAAACATCGCCACTGGGGAGACAAAGGCGGTCGGGTGTGGTTGCTGGCCACCCACCCCCTCGTGTGCCGTGCCGGCCTTCACAGGTGCTGCTCGCTAACAGCACTTGCCCCTACAGTCTGTGAAGGCTACACGGGGGACCTTTGTCCCCGAGTGGGGTGCTGGTCACGAAGGGCCCCCTATAGGCTCCTGCGTGAGACCCGGTCCCCTTAGGACCCCCACGGACCCCCGTGCCGTACCAAGCGCTGCGCTGGGACCCCCGTGCCGTACCGGGTTTGAGCGGGGACCGCATGAGTTGTGTCTGGGTCCCCTCCCCGCAGTCGAAGAGCCACAGGGAGCCGTCGGGGAGCCTCAGGGCCACGGCCGAGGTCCCGCGCCGCGGGGATGGAAAGGCGGCCCCCGTGCCCAGCGCCGTCACCTCCAGGGACATGGCGGAGTCCGAGGAGCCCCGACCCCCACCACCACCCCCGTTCACCCCGAGACGACCGCTACCAGGACCCCTTTCCCCGACTCTCTCTGCCGTGTCCCTCTCTCCTCCTGCGGCCTCTGCTTGGCCGGCCTCCCCTATCCCCTCTCGGCCTCCGACTCGTCTCCTCCCCGGTACTTCCTCCTTCCCTCGGGGTCCTCTCTCGCTCTCTACCTCGACCCCTGTTAGGGGGTGGGGGGTGGGCTGGGCCTTGCACCTCCCTTCCCGGCGCTCCCGTAAGGTCCCCGTGTGCGTGCCACGTGAAACCTCTCATCTGGAAACGATTTTTTCCCCCCGTGGGCGGTGCCTCGGGAATGGGGCGTGGCCTGAATTAATTATCTCGGCTCGGCCCCTCCCCTGTGTGGAGTAACTTGCGTGCGTTGCGTGTGCGTGAATGTCAGCCCAAGTCTGTACTTGCACATTGTCTGGAGTCGATCCACTGCTGGATGAGGACCTACCCAAGCCGTGTTGGTCGCGGGGGGTTATCTGACCAAACTTCACTACGCTGGTCAATTCGGGTTGAAGGCCGGGTGCACAGAAGTGCAGTATAACATTGCATTGGGAAACACTGCCCTCTGTTGGTGTGCATGTTGGAAGCCCATCCAATGACTAACAAGCTGAAGCCTGCTTAGCGTCTTAGTTTGTGTTTGTTATACAGAGCGTACTACAGTCACGCCACTAATCATCGCACGGACAGTTGTTTTGTTTCTGTGTCTTTCTGTACCCAGGCACCCATAGAAAATGGGTAATGATTGTCCAATGGGTTTTACCGGTGTCAAAATAAAACCAATTAAAAAAATAAATCATACGAGGATTAAAACGTCAAGATTAATAGGTCCAATGAAAAATGAGAACAGGGTTTACCCATTCTGGCAGGCGTTAGGATGTTCAAATACCAAATAGAAACCTTTTGTAAGGCATGATAGTCTGCAATAACCACACGTACTTGTGGCAAAACATGCAAACGAAAATGCCCCGATAATTGTGTGTGCATTGTCTGTGAAACTGAACAGCCCTACACTCGAGACAGCCTTCCTCCTTGTGGCCTCGTCTCACCAGCCTCAGACCAGAGAACAACAAAAGGCGAACAGGGGAAACACAATCCAAGTATCAAAACACGTATAGCCCGGATCGAACTGCAAAACGTGAATAGATCTGTGCATCGAATCCTAACGACTTACAATTCGACTGAACACCAGGTGGGTAACGATGCATCAATTCATGTATTGAACCCGATTGTTACGGTCTCGCCACAAGCATCGCTTCGTGATCCGGGATGTGATTTATATCCACGCCTTATGCGAATTCTATTCCTGCCGTGTGATGGCAGCAACGTGTTCATGAGCTCCATGGCACAGTCGAGATTCGCTCGCCACGACGAGAGGGTTTCAGAACAGACAGTTCGTGTCGTTTTACTGTTCCTACAGAGATTGACTGTGTGCAGACGTCACGTGTGCAGACGACGGATTCAGAACTCGAAGTGACCCAGAATCGCCACATGCATAGCGAGTAGCTAAATCGAGTATGTGCTAAGACATATGTTTACTGTGCAGATACGGCGAAATGAAGGACATTGGCTGATCATCTGTTTTTCGCCAAGGGCCATTGTCCGAAACGTCACTTGGTTATATCACGTTCCTTTTACGGCTAGGGTGTTATTGACGAATGTATTGACTTTTTGTTATTTGGGCTTGCACCACTTCCAACGCAACATCACATAAAACTGTTTCATACTGTATTGAATATCGTATACTCTTTTATTCTTTCGGTAAAGTCACGTAGATATACAATTACGGTAATAGATCACGACGTTTCGATCGCAACACAAGCGACCGTCTTCACGTGAGAGAGAAAGGAAGCTACTGAAACAAGGTCTCGTCGGCCAAATACCTCTGCCGCTGCGGATCAATGTTTTAACGCTGTGGGCACACACGAACTTGATTTTTCCAAGACGAAGGTACTCTGCAAACCCACTGGCTATCATCAGAGATTTGTTCATGAAGCCATCCAGATATATAAACACAGACACAACTTTAACCGATAAGATGGGTACAAATTGAGCAATCATTGGAAGGACGGGATTAACCAGGTAAAGTCTTAACCTACTGTGATGTTTGATGTTTCTATCCTTCCTGGGATTTTATCTGACTCTCTGAGTTGCATTATTAGGTTGGATGTCTTTGTATTGACGGGCTGGATGTCCTTCTCGCTCAGTCACCGATGCTGCGGCATACTAAGCTCGTGCATTGACACGTTAATCTCTTACAATACAATAACCACTTCCACAGCCTCAGAGAGGCCATCTCTAGCCCCGCCCTCTTGCCCTGAGGCTGCACACATCTCAGGCCTACATAAGACCTTGTTTCAGTAGCTTCCTCTCTCACCTGAAGACGGTCGCTTGTGTTGCGATCGAAACGTCGTGATCTATTAATTTTCTACCTACGTGACTTTACCGACCGAACCAAAGAGTATGGATTCCTGCAGTCACGAAACCTTCAAATCAAGATTGAATATAGCATGTTTTGTAATTACTAGTCAGCTTAATGAGCATTGCTTTGTATTTGACAAGTGTGCATAAAAGCGCAGTTAATCCACCTGCGCTGTCCGTGGTCCTGAACCTTTGTGCGTACAGCATTTTTGCGAACGCGCCTTCATGGGTGATCGCTAACAGCACTTGCCCAACATTATAATACGGGTATATGGGGGATCTTTGAGTGTGTGGGATGCGCTCGTGCAGTGGTTAGCGAACTTTTTGAACCGAGTCCGATTCCCGCTCACGACCAGCAAGTAGCGAATATCTGAACCGGTCCCGGGCCTCCCCGTAGGTCGACTTGCATAAAAAGAGCACCTAGTGGGGTACGAAATCATCAGCACTGGGGAGACAAAGGTGGCCGGGCGTGGTGTTTTGCCACCCACCTCGTGTAACGTGCCGGCCTTCATAGGTGCACGCTAACAGCACTTGCTCCAACAAGAGGGATGTTGGAGATACTTGTGTTCATGTATACTGTACACATGTACAGGTGTGCAGCAGTAGCTGTTGTTTCCTTTTTGACGAAGCAGCTATGTGCCCGGTGTTGCCACTGCTAAAACCCAAGCCCATTTTTCCCTGGTCTCATCTATCCACTGTTATTTTTACTGGCTAATAAACCAGTCTCCATGTTGCTGGCCTGGTTTCAGAAATGCCTCCTGGCCCTTACTGCTCCCCCCCACCCCATTCTGCGTCCTGGGGCCTCTCGAAGGCCGTGTTGCAGCTCCATTCCTTGGCGCAGGTTCTCCGAGGCCCTACTCTGGCTCTAGGCCTCGGCAAGGTAAGGTAAAAACAACAAGCCTACCTTTACCCTACCTTTTACCTTATCACAATACAATCACTCTACCCTACCTTTTACCCTTTAGCAAGTAAGGCAAAAGGTAAAAAGCAACGAGCCTACCTTTACCCTACCTTTGACCCTTACCCCATACAAATTACCCGATTACAGGGTAATTACTGGGGTACTACACATGAAAAAGGTTTATAACGGTAAATGCTAGGTAGAGCACTTTATTCGGATAGAATACTCTCGAATCGGGCGTTGAGACTGTCGACGACACCGTCCTCCATAACCTCGTCCCAGTCGTCTTGGTCGATGACGATCTCATCAACAACCTGATCAAGTTCGTCATTGCCGTCGTCCTCGGACGAACGGGCAATAAGATCCTGCGCCGCTCCGGCCCAGTTAGACGGAGCCTTCAGGCAGCTGGCCGCGATCCACGAGCGCAAGCACATGGACTGGATGAAGAGGGTCGACGACAGCGACTGGCGAACGCGCGTGAACTCCCGCTCGGCTCCGCTATTCGCGCGTTGACAGGGAGTTGACATCGCCGGCGCTCCCAAGTAGTCGCAGACCATCTTGTAGTGGGCGGGGAGCAGCTCTTTGCGGGGAGACCACCACTGCATTACGTCAATGAAGGTGCTGGCGGTCGTGACACCCATGCTCAGAAACCGATCGACTTCATCGCCGTCGTCGATGGAGCTGCTGCTGTTACTGAACAGGGTACTGAACAGGGACCCCTCCTCCATATGGGCAGCGACTGCCGTCGGCGGGATCGCGAGCACGTCCGAGTAGCGATGCTGCAGGACAGAGCGGATCGTGGCCTTCAGTGTAGCCAGCTCGTCTTGGTCTGTCGTTTTCGGCAGCTGTGGATTCAAGTAGGATGCCACAATGGCGGGTTCCTGAACCAGAAAGTCACGGTACCGCACCGGCTCGGCCTTCATCCCCGTCACAGTCAAACACTCATCGATCGCTCTAAGAGCGGCTTCACCGCGATCGCAATGACGGATCAGGTGCTCCGTCGTCACCGACACGAGATCCAATGTCGACTTGCGGTCCCGCCGTCAACGAGGTCATGACCTGGCGTGGCATTCGCAGGAATGCTGTCACGCCCTCGATGCGTGCCCTCTGCACGTCAGAGAAAGTACCGACGCCGATCACGTCCTGGAAGCGCGCCATGATAATGTCCAATGGGACACGCTTCTTGATGGCGTCGTCGCCTATGTCAAACGTCGAATTCCACCTGGTCGGCGAGTCCTGGTGCGTCGGCTCCTCGCTGGCGAGCTTGGCGATCTCGGCCTCGTGGCGGTACGACTACCGGACGACCCTGCTGCGCCTGATATTGACGAGCGCCTCGCGCAGTTCGGCATTGGTCGACTTGATCAGTTTGAGAACTTGGACGACGCCGATCTGGACGGAATGATCCGTCCAGATTGGCGTCAACGCATCCGCGTTGACCAGGGCGAACGTCTTGACAGCACTGATCGCATCGGAGCCATTATCGCTGGTGACAGTGAGCAGCTTGGTCGAGACATTGCGCCCAAGACTTAGGAGGTGCTCAGAGTGGTGCCAATGCGCTTGTTGACACCCCTTCCGGACTGCACATCCGAGGATCGTTAGCAGCATGGATTTCGACGCACCAGATTTGGTGTCGATCCAGTGCACCGTGACCATCCAAAATCCCTTCAGGTTGCGGTTCGACCAACCGTCGATGGTGAGCGAGATGGCGACGTCCAGGTTGGAGAAGAACGCCCCGACGATGGGCAGCATGATGGCGTGATGCTCGACAATCCTGCGAATGATGGTGCGGGTCGACAGGCCCTCGTATCCCTGCGTCAATGTGTGGACCAAGGTCTTGAACTTGTCGCTGCCGGCGGCTCGCAAAGAGATTGCACCTTGGATAACAAAATCAACCACCGTGTTCTCAAACTTTACCAGGCGATCCGGGATTGCTGGCCGGCTCAGTGTTTGCTGTATTAGGCGGCTCGCCAACGCCGACGTCCCGACCTCGCTGCCTGGGGCGAGCACGTTGTGCTTCTTGAGGTGGGCTTTCCACCCCGACGCGTTCGTGTGGGAGGAAAACCACTTGCATCAGTGCACGCACTGCCGCTTTCCTTGTTGTACATGGGGATCACCCTCCATACAATCGTGCGTGTGCTCCCACGGGAACGCATGCCGCTGCCTCTTTCGATTGCTGTTCGCAGCGACCCCAAAAATGTCGTTGCTGGTATCCTTGACCTCATCCTCTACCTCAAGAACGTGGTCTGTCTCCATCTGGTCCGACATCAATGATCGTAATTTAAAATGGAGGCCACGGGCACGGACTGTGCCACGGAGCTTTTAGCGGTAAACAAGGTACTGTATTTACCGGGTAATATTTCGCGCTACCTTTACCCTACCGGGTAATTCTTCCGAGCTAGCTTTACCCTACCCTTTACCTTACCCCTTGGCATGTCGACACCTTTACCCTTTACCCGGTAAAAAAGGTAAATTACCTTACCTTGCCGAGGCCTATCTGGCTCTGTGCCGTGGAAACTCACCCAGGCCCACATTATTTTTCCGGTTGTTTACCCAGGAAAGCCTCACCGAGTCTGGAGAATCTGTTTAAGGACGGTGCTGCAACTTTTTTAACAGCAGGGGACGATGTTGCTGCTCTGTGTGATCCCAATTGCGTAATTTGCAGGTCGCGTCTCTGCACTGGGGCAGTTTGCCCAAAACCAGTTGCATCGCTCAGTGGCCAAACTTCGGTTTCTACGGTAGAAGAACCTGGCGCCTCCCGATCCACATTGGGCTCGTTCCACTTAGCCACGCCGTAGATCGGTTGCAGAGTACAGGTGCCCCTCGCTTTATGCGCTAGTAGATGCAGTCCAAAGAAAAGGGCAAACAAAGCAAAACCGCACGAGACAGCTGCCTGCCGAGTACGGTTCACAGTACAAAATGTTGTCCCAAGTCCGACCGGATAGCCACATAGGAGTGAATTTCAACCACATATTGCAAATGTTGAATAGAAATAGGTTAGCCGCATATACGCCAAATTGCACAAACCGAACTTGCACAAAGCGAGGGGGAACCTGTACGGTTTTTTTAAGCTGAAGGAGGAAATAAGATAACCCAGAGGAAACTCGTGCAGGAAAGGGGGAGATACAAACACCACAGAATCTGTATGCTCTCCATATGAACCCAGGGGGTGGAACCCAGGCCGCATGGACCCATGGCACTGTGCCTGCCGAGTTATTGTCAATAAAGCTGACACAGACACATTGCGCAGGATATATTATACACTTTGTTTATATAGCACGCTATAATTCTTACACAGCATAGAGATAGCAGCACAGCCATAATAAATGAGTCGGGAAGGGCGAAACGCTACATGTCCTCTTACAAGGGTATAAAGTGTCTTAAAACCTAAAATAAAATGCCCTCGCTGTGGTCCGTATTCAGTCACGGTTTGGCTCTGGCTCGGCTCTGGCTCAAGTGAGCCAGCTTAAAGCCATGCAATTAACGGGAGTCGGCTCTGTGAGCCATGGTCCCAGCTACAGTCAAGATTTCCGTGAGCTGAGCCTGAGTCAAGCGGCTCAAACCTGAGCCCGAGTATAAGAGGCCGAGCCAGAGCAGAGCCGTGATGGGGCCTAAGTATTTACCGAGTGGGCTCTAATGGGGGGGTGGGGTTAGTCTGTATCTGATCGCACACTAACCAAGCAACAACAGTCTCACTTCGCCATTAAGTGGCAGTGACATCACCACCCATCGCTTGTGCCAGGTGAGGTGCACTGTGAGACTACGTGATGTTGAAGACTCCCTGCTAGCAGGTAACGGGACAGGCCCAGATGTTATGGGTTAATTGAGATGACTAAACAGTTGCATTAGCTGTGCTCCCCACTCTATCAAATTTCTGCGTTTTAGCCGCCTGATGCCGCACTCACGGTTGTGAGCGTTGCTCCTCTACCCTCCATTATTGTTGGAGGGCGGCTGCCTCCAACTGCCCAGTAGCGGCCTTCATCTGCCTCCTCCAGAGGCCGATCTTGACACCGCTGGTACCAGTCATCAGCAAGTCCACTCAGCTCCACATCCTCTTGTACCACATGATCCAATCTCTTCTCTAGGCTGTGTAGTGGCAGGGCATGGAGGCTACATGACCCAGCCAACACAGCCTTACCTGCCAGAGGAGCTCAGTGATGGGACTATGTCCAGATCTTTCAAGGATGCGAGCTCAAACAATCCAGTCTGGTTCAACCTAGGATGGATCACAGGCAGGCCAGCCTGAATATTTCGAACTGGCACAAATGTTCCTTTAAATGTGGTTGAGAAGACCCAGAGCTTAATATTAAGTGACTGGCTAAGCAGCTTCCACGTGGCCTTAGGCAGCTGATGAAAAGATGCCACTCGACTGATTTGGAAACCTCTGATACCTAACTCTGGCTAGTCATAAGCACACTACCCAGGTATAGGAACTCCTCCGTTCTTATGAGAACTACCCCCATCATTTTGTGGGGCTGATGGTAAGACCCCACACCTCTTAGTGGAAAGCTCCAGGTTCAGCAGCAGTCTCCAACTCCTCAGAGTGAGCAGCAATTACCAGATCATCAGCATGCATAATATGGGTGACCAATGAGAAGCCGTCCCTTGACCATCGCATCGATCTTCCTCCAATTGTATCTGTATCAGAAATAAAATTCCACTGAAACAGCCATGTAAATCTTCACAAATTCCACGGTTAAAAACATGTCAGATAATGTAGGAGCCTGAGGACATATTTGTTGCATCCAAAGGTGACATACTGGACATCTGTGAAAAATAGCTTATATCTCATTGGATTCCTCCAATCTAAATATTATGATTCTGACCTGGTTATACGAACAGGGATTGGCTCCGACTCCTGGCCAGGCAGCTTTACCCAGGCCTGTCCACCACCATGGTAATCCTTAATGATTGTGATTAGAGAGCCAAGGATCCTTATAGCATGAAGAATAACATAACCCAAAGCCCTGGCCTATTGATGGTATCATTGGGCTTGACCAGGTCAATAAAGCAGTGATGTAGGTCCTGTTGAATTTCCCTACACCTCTCCTGTAGCAGACGGACAGAGAATGTGGGATCAGTGCAGGACCACCCCTTTCTGAAACCATATTGGGGCTCTGCAAGCCTTTCCTTAGTGTGCCTGGCAAGGCGATGCTGAATAATCCTTGCCAGGAACTTTCCCGGCACACTGAGGAGGGAGATGCCCTGGTAGTTGCTACAATTAGTGTGGTCCCTCTTCTTAAAAAGGGGGACCCCACAAGGGCATTCTTCCAATTTGACTAATCACAGCTCCATTCACAAATTTTAAAAATTCACTCACAAACTCATACACACCCAGTTACACTCACTCTCACACACCCTCGGCTCACACCAATTAATTTGGGCCACCATGCCACACGTGCTCATGTTCAGCACGAGATAAGAACTAGCACTGACTCTAACTTGCACTCGAACGGCTAACCCCAACACAGGCCAAACCCCTAACCTCCATTAAGCCTTCGCCCAAACAAAACCCTTAGCTCATAACCATATCTTCTGAACCCAACACAGTCCCTATCCACTGACCTAAGCTATACAATATGCCCTAATCCTATAACAGACCCAGTCCTTAACTCTATACAAATCTATAAACTCCAACTAACACTCTGACCTGTAACCTAAATCGTGCCCCTTAGCCCTATTGTGGCCATGAGATTATCAATTAAGACGGGGGTTAAACTATATTGTGTGTCGCAATAGATCCCAACTGTGCATTGTGAAGCAAGCGGACTTCTCAATAACAACAAACAAATTATGGAGATCAGGAGAGGGGGAGATTAGAGGGCATACAGGGAGAAACAGAGACTATAGAATACAGAGGAAGACATTGAAAGGCCAGGGAAGACAAGGAAAGGCAGGGAAACAGGATATGGTTGAAGGAAACTATGAGAAGCACATCAAACAAGAGGAGGCAGGGAGAGGCATGGGGAGGTCTGGGGCAATTGTCCGAGATGCAGGGTCAGTACTTAGGGCCAAAGGGCAGGGGCCCGAGCTCTATCTCCACTTCGGCCACGTGCAGGTCGCAGTGGCGCCGTGACTTCCCGTGCCACGCCCTGTAGCTCTGCTGCTTGTGCTGCTCGTGACACCGGTTGTGCTGCTCGTTGTGCTTCGTGTTGTGGCCCTGCCCCCGTGTGGGAAGCGCCCTCTGGGCCCCGTACTCCTCGGGGCCCCGCCAGTCCCTCCCCTTCATCTTCAGCCGCTCTTCCCCTCTCCGCCTGCTGCCCTGCCCCTGACCTTGCCCCTGCCCCCGCCGGCCGTCCCCTTGCCGCGCCTCGGCGCTCGCCTCGCTCCCGGCCCCCGAGGTCGCGTGGCCTCCCCAGCCGCGGCCCCGGCTTGCGTCGGACTCCGCCTGCCCGGCCCCACGCTCTCCGCGCTTCCTCGTCGAGTTCTTGGCGTCCTCGTAGGGCCGGTGGCGGGGGTCTGGCCCTCGCACCTCCTGTACCTCCTTCTTCCTTTTCCCGTGCTCGGCGGCCGCGTCGCGCGCCTCCACGTAGAGCCGCTCCCAAAGGTGCGAGCGCTGCCGCTCGGCCTCCAGCGCCACGGCCGCCGCGTCGCGCTCTCCGCGGGTGGTCGCGGAGGCCGCACGCTCCTCCCGCAGCTCCCGGTGGAGCCGGCGAACCTCGGCCTGCAGCCGGCGGCCCTCGGCCGCCAGCTCCCGCGCCGCCGCCCGTGCGACTTCCTGTCCCTGTGCGGTGACGGCCCCGGGGGCCTCCTGCTTCACCGTGGTGGTCCCGGGGGCCTCCTGCTTCACCGCCGCAGTGGATCGCCCGACCTCCTGGCGTAGCTGGATCAGCGCCGCTCGCAACGCGGCGTTCTCCTGGGACAGGGACCCACGCTCTGCCTCCCAACGCCCGGCCATGGCGGTCGCCTCGGCCTGCAGACGGGGACACACACACGCACACATACGCACGCACACGCACGCACATTCACCGTGAGTTCTGGCATGTGGTAGGGCCAGGTCTGTCAACCGGGGCTCTCAGCCAGCTCCACGTCGAGACCACTCAACGTCATCAGCGCCCACCCACATGGACACAAGGTGCCGTTCCCATCCCTTCTCGCCGCAGAACGAGGTGTGAGCGTACACACTTGTGTGACCTTGTGAGTGTGTTCGTGTCCGTGTGTGGGAGACAATATGTAAACACGGCTACATGTCTACGTGTGCACATGTGTGCGTGCGTAAGTATTAATGTGTATGTGTGTGGGCGTGGTACTGCCCACCTAACCCTTCGTGTGCCATGTCGGCCTTCAATGGTGCTCGCGAACAGCACTTGCCTCAATAGTCTGTTAAAAGGCTATATGGGGGATCTTTAGATGTATAAACATGTGCATGTGTGTATATACATGCACATGTTTATACCTGCACCTCCAATTAGCACGGTTGGCTACATACGGTGTGAAAGAAGTTCAACACACCTGTGTGAGTATACGTGTATATATGTTTCTAAACGTGTGTGTGTGTACATGTCAGTTTTACACGTAGGCTTTCGCGACCAATATCATCCATAAGAGGTAATTTGGGTTAGATCGCGTAAATATATAAATGTGTCTCCAACAAACCGGTGTGCTGTACTAGTGACGAATTGGCATGTTTTGTTTACTTGACAACTCTTACTAGTTGACTGTGTCGGGTGGTGGCGGGTTTAACGACACATTTATATATTTACATGATCTAACCCAAAAAACCTCTATTATGTGTGTACATGTGTGAGTGTGCGCGTGTGAGTTGACCGTCACCTGCAGCTGGCGCTCGGTTGCCCTGAGACGCTCGTTCTGCTGCACCAACGCCCCCTGCCTCTCGCTCGCCACTGCTCACGCACGGCCACACATGCAGGGGGCTCACAATGGCCATGTCGGGGAACCAAGCCGGCACCGCTGAGATCCTGGGTTCAAATCCGGGTTTCAGCCACCCGTGGCTAACCCGGGTTCTCAAGTGTTGCGAGATGATAGTCTCAGGCCAGTCACCCATGGTCTCACATAGAGACCCACAGACTCACGTAGAGACTCAGACAGAGTTGTGATTTAACCAGGTTCTCAAGTGTATCAATGCCCGGTTACCAATGACTGCACAAACAAAAACTCCCATAAAATTTATAAAAAAGCGGAAACCTGGCGGCGCTTACTCAGAGCACATGGGACACGTTGTTCTATTAGTGGGCGACTGTTACTACTACGGCCAGGGGCGAATGGGCCATAGGTTTTGCCCTTGATGTTGATCCCCGGCAGCTGGTGTTTGGGGGGACCAGACGGCCACGTGTCGCCATTAACACATGCGGTGATGGGTGGGGGGGGGGGGAGAGGAAGGTGGTTGGGGGGGTGACCCCCACGGTATTAATAGCAATGCCGTCTGCACACACGGTCCCTGCCCCACTTACCCAACAAGTCCGCTCGAGCACCGGCGCTGCAAATATTTACACGTCCCGGCGCCGGCGGTCACATGACCGTGATGGTCACATGACCGTGATGGTCACATGACCCAGTCTGCAGTGCGAGGGCATCACTGAGTTAACTTGTAAACAAAAAGAGCCTCGGCCTCCTCGACCGGTGCTCATTTCAGGCTGAGTGGACCGAGAGGAGGATATTGCCGAATTCACCTCACTCCCGAGTAACCTGACACTGACTGAAAGCCACAGAAACTCATATTAGGCCGAGTACACCTAGGGTTGGCCAGTGTGGATGATCGGGGAGTGTGTGGTTGGGGGCTGGGTGGTGGGGGATTGTGCCGCTCACCGTGGTTGCTCGCTATCACAAGGCCCAGCGCCACGATGAGCGCCAGCGCGAGTGCGGGCACCAGCACCGTCACTGGCACACCCGTGCCAGGCATGGTGCCCCCCGTTGCAGGCACGGTGCTGTCGGCCAGCGCGGTGGGGAGTTGCCGGCGGGCGAGGCGTCGGCGCAGCCTGGGCGCCATCGGGCCACTCCCGATTTCGTCATCATCACATCGAATGAGCTTCTCCTGGTCTTCCTCATCGGTGCTGGAGCCGGCGCCCGACGGGGCTGCAGGAGACGCACGCGGAACCATCATCGCTCGGCTCCATCAAATCTCGTTATCCTCATTATAGTGGCGGAATCACCGCCCTCATTGCAACAGCATAGCAGATAGCGCAGGTGGAACGATTTTCGAATTTCTGCAACTCTGGATCGTGAAGTGACCCATTACGCACAACAAACGCGAGCCCAAAACAAGAGTGGACGCACGTGCCGTGAGCGCGTCTGTGTTGGTCATTCGTCTCGTCTGTATTGGTCACACGTCTCGTCTGTCTTGGTCACACGTCTCGTCTGTGTTGGTCACATGTCTCGTCTGTCTTGGTCACATGTCTCATCTGTGTTGGTCACATGTCTCCCACATGAGTGCATCAGACGCTACAGGTCTCCGTTGCGACCGCTGAGCTAAACCAACCTCGCTCGCGCCCCAGGGGGAACGGGAAGCGGCCGCCGATGCTCAAAGACCCCGCGAGGGTGTCCTCGCCATCCGCCCGTGTGACAGGCTCCACGGATGCCTCAGAGTGGGAGGAGGGGAGATGAGGGGGGTCCTCCAGGCCTGCCGCAGAGTCGGGCATCTCAACGGACGCCTCAGAGGGAGCAAAAGGATCCGGAATCTCGTCGAGCGCAGAGGGATCCAGCGTGAAGAGGTCGGAGTCATCGCTCCCACTCACCTCCTCGCTCACCTCCATCATCTCCTCACCCATCTCCTCCATCATGTCCTTGCACACCTCCCCTCTCACCTCTTCCATTACCACCTCGCTTCGCTCCATTTTCACTTCCTCCATCTTTTCGCTCACCTCAATCACCTTCGCCTGCACGTCCCCACTCAACTCCTCACTCACCTCCCCTCTCACCTTCTCGCTAACTGCCTTGCTGATCTCCCCCCTCACCTCCTTGCCCATGTTCTCGCTCCCCTCCTCTTTCACCTCCTTGCCCATGTTCTCGCTCCCCTCCTCTTTCACCTCCTTGTTCATCTTCTTGCTCATGCTCCCGCTCAATACCTCACTCACCACCTCGCTCACCTCCTCTTCCTCCATCATCTTCTCGCTCACTTCCACACTCAGCTCCTCGCCCAACTTCACCTTTTCGGTCACGTTGCCCACATTTTCGTCCACTCTCTCAACCTCCTCACCCATTGGCTCACTTGCCTTGCCCAGCTTCTCGTTCGTCTTGTTCATCTCATCTTCCTCATCTCTCACCTCCTCCTTATCCTCATCTCCCACGTCCGCATTCACATCTTCCTTCACCTCTTCAGGCCCGGGTGGCCGCTCCACCTGTTTTTGTTCACCGCCATGACATGAATGCAATGTGTCAAACGCCGCTGTCCAAACCGTTTACGTTTATATATGTGTGGAAGTATGTAAGTTGAACGTCTTTCGCACCATACGTAGCCAACCATTCGAATCAGAGGTGCGGGGGAAGGACAACAACTGAACACAAAAAGCTTATGGTAAACACCGAAGAACTCGATGCTATTTCAAACGCATGTCATAATAATAATAATAAAAATCAAACAACATTCTTGATTTACCAATGGAAACTTCGTTGAGTCTCAAGGAACTTTTTCAGGAGGCTGCTCATGTAATCTACTATGTATTCTCTGCGCAAACCATTTTAATCATGGCGAGCCGGAATTTACAGTAAACATTACCCATGATCCCCGGTGACAAAGCACAATGAGCTTCTACGTGGAGAGCTGTTTGTGCGTTTGGGCCACACGTGCTGGTCACAGGCAAGGGTATGCTATATCTGAACCCATTCTGGCCCTCTCACCAAGCCATACTTAACCAAGTATGGTCAAATAAGCCCCAACACTAAACATTACATGGGGAGGCCATCATCCAGCAGTGGACTGATGATGCCACTGTATGGATGCCCACAAGCCACATCTGTGAAGCCCCAATCTAGCATGCACAGGCCACAGTCTTCTTGCTCGATCAAGGCAAAGGTGGCAGTGCCCAGCCAGCTCGTGCCAGCTTGGGTGAGCGACCTCTTACGTTTTGTATAAACCCGCTCTGAGCGATTGGATTGGGAATCCTCAGTGACAGCCTCTGCTCGGATTCCCTACCCATTTCCCCACCACCACCACCGCCGCTGCTGCTGCTGCTGCTACTCACCATGCACGTGGCCTCGTCAGGGAGTCCGGTTTCCCCCACCCTCTCGCAGCCCTCGCCCCCGGCCTCCAACGCCTCCCGGAGTTTCCCTTCCAGGAACCCTGCGAGACAAAAACTCCTCGATCACTCCGAGTGTGGAGGGCGGCCGCAGCAGAGGGACAGCTGCGCATGAACCTACAAAACCACAACCCTGAGGAATCCGGAGCAAACCTACGCAGAATGAGGGGGGAACGCGCAAACTCCACACAGCAAAACGCCATGAGACACAATTGTTACAACTGTGGTGTGCAGTCGTAACAGTGGCACCACTGTCTTGAGTGAAATACCATCGGTTACGTAGTCTAAGTTATTGATGTTCATCTTTCTGTGCGTATTTCTTCTGTTACCCACGTGTGGGGTTTCAATGTCAAATCCCTTTTAGCACTTCGAAACCTGCCACACGCGTGTCACGCGCGGCAACATAAATAATAAATGATGATGATGATGACCTGAGCAACTGTAACTCTGCCCTCAATAACCGTTACATTACATGACCAAACCTAACATTAATCGTAGCCACTTACATTCTCGTCATCTTCATAATACATTAATAAAAATCCTAACATAGACCACAAGTATAAACACTAATAATAACCCTAACATTATACACACCAAACACAATCATGCTGTTACAACTCCCAACCTGAGCCATAACACGTATAACGTTTAACAGTTTACTCCTACAAGTTATCATTATACCCACATTACTCTAACCTTCAACCACCAACTCTGGTAAGGGGCCGTCCATAAATGACGTCACGCGATTTTTGACTATTTTTGACCCCCCCCCCCCCTCGTCACACGGCGTCACAAAAAGTCAGATCCCCCCTCAAATATGACGTCACAAAGCTCTGTACCACCCCCCCCCCCCCCAAATAAAACATGCTCCAAATCGCTTTAAACTATTGTCGTTGTAGTGCGTATTTAATGTGGCGCTGCACTCTGATGTTTTAGGAGAAAACATTTATTAAAAAGTCTATTTAATTAAGTAGAACGTGTTATCTATATTTGTTTAAAGTTGCGCATTTTGATGTGACGTCACATTTCTCACCCCCCCCCCCTCGTCACACATCGTCACAAATGTCTGACCCCCCCCCAGGTGCGTGACGTCATTTATGGACGGCCCCTAACCCCAATAACCCTGACCCTTATAATCATAGCTCTGAACATTCTAACAATCTACCACCCACCCAGCGATTAGATTATCACGATTCAGTCACGAATTGATTGACAGATGTTTCGTCTTATTCTTATGACGATTTTATTCACTGCATTTGCCTAAATGTAGCATATTATTTTAATATCACATTAATAAACCATCCATATTATTTTCATGTCACATTAATAAACCATACATATCTGATTCTTAGATGCACAATTCTATACTGTTATCATGAGTCCAATAATGTATTTTAAACAAGGAATATATAGTCATGTACCTAACCCTTAGCGGTTAACCCCCAAAGCCAGACATGGGAAGGTTTAGCTGAACAATAACCAAATACAACTCTAAAATGCCTTTTGGCGGGGGGGGCACACATTAACACACACTTCTCGGCCACTTCTTTCAGTGAAAGAGGCCCTTGAAGTGACAGCAGTGACTTGAGCGTGCTAAAATGAGAAACACTATTGTTGCCACATAAAAAAAATATTCCCCTCCAGTACACAATGAGTACGGCTAAAATGCTTATGGATTCCAGGCATTTTCAAAGAGGACGATCTCATGTGGCTGCAGGCCACGGTAAGATGAAGTCGCAGACCACTTTTGGCAAATGGGCCGTAGATTCCCCATCCCGTGCCTTAACTCGTAGCCCTTAACCTTACGGGGCAGGAGGGGGAGAGTTGTCGCGCTACCCGTGTCGTCCGTGCCGCTTTGCCCACCGTTGCCTTGGCTCCGCGCGACGCGGGCCGGCACCGTCTCAGCTCCATCCTCCTCGGAGTCCGAGTGTCCGAGTCGACATCTCTGCTTAGCGCCCACGCACTCCTCGTCCAGGCCCTGCACGCCGTGGCCACGCGGGAGAGCACGGGTCGGCGTCTCTGCCTCTCTGGCCCGCTCGTCCCCCCCCGTGAGTAAACACAAGCCCCGCGCGGCACCAGCTCTGTTGTGTAAATCGGGCCATTGCGTAAGGAGGCCGTGCCAACGCGCAACCGGGGCCAGCGGGTGGGGTAGGGGGGTGGGTGTGCTAACGCGGAGACGAGGGCCCAGGTCCCCTCACCTCTACAGGGATCCTCACCCCACGGGTCCCCTCACCACACCGGTCACATCACCAAACCCCACACGGGTCCCCTCACCACCATCACGCTGCGGGTTCCCTCACCCCGCACCATGCGCACCCCCCCCCCCATCACAAAAATCCCCTCAAAACCACGGATGTCATCGCGAATCCCCTCACCCCTTTGCCGCACGGGTGCCCTAAACCCCTCTGATCCCCTCACACCAACGTGCTTCCTCGTCCACAACACGCGGGTCTCCACCCCACGAGGGTCCCTCACCTCGCGGCTCAGCAGAGTCCACCCGCTCGAGTCGCTGTCGCTCTCCGAACTCGACATCGCGGCGTCGGCGACGGTGGAGGCCAAACCTGAGGTCGGGGTCGACATGGAACTCACAACTCGAGTACAGTACGAGTGCGTGTGTCTGTGTTGTGTCTACGTACTTGTCTAAATTATGTGTCAACGTGTATTTGCATCCGTGTGCTGTGTGTCAATGTGTATTCGCGTGTTTGTGTTTTGTTTATGTACGGCCTTAATAGGTTCTCGCGAACAGCACTTGCTCAAATTATGTTAAAGACTGGAGGAGGATCTTTGTCTGTCCGTGTGTGTGCGTGTACAAGCCTAGACGTGTCTATGTCTGCGTGTATCAACCCTGAAGCGCCCGCTTTGTTTACTTGAGAATGCAAATTACCTCGGCCTGGTCGCACGCGGACCCCCAAAGCTTGCCTGGTCGCTGTACCGGCGCACCCTCACCGATGCCCGCAGGCAGAGGCAGACCGAGCAGGGTGTGGGTCGTGGTGGCGAGTCGGTAACGGAGTTGACCACCTTCGTGGAGCGGTGGGATGGATTGTGGACGCCGCCGCGCCACTGAGCTCGGTTAGAGTCCTCCTCCTCGTCGTCGTCGTCTTCTCCTCAATCTCCTCCTCGTCTCCCGCAAGGCTGCAAGTCACGTGAAGAGCGGAGCACGGGTCACGTGGTCGTGATGAGGTCACCACTGGGCAAGCCCCCTTCCCTCCCACCCCGTCGCCACGGCAACGAAAATGTCAACAGAGAGAGTCACGTGACCCCGCCCGGTGCACACCCGTCCGAGGCCTACTCTGCCGACCGTCGTAAAGAGATCACTACCGACTACCTTGAAAACTGTGGGTATTGTTTCTGCTATAAACCTTATAATGTTAACACTGATTGAGGCCATAGCGGTGTAATCTAGCGCGTGTGAACAAATCTCCGGGGGAAGGCGCCCGACCTCGATATCTAATTCAGAATCAGAATATTACTGGAGGAATCCGATGAGCTATAAAGCTCTTTTTTTTACAGATTTCCAATAGTTAATTAAGCAGTGGTTAATTGATGTAACGTGACAATGCTGATGCTAGTGATGATCGGATTATGTTCGTGCGCGTGATGGCAGCATTGTGCACAGGAGCTGAATGCCAATGTCGAGGTCTTCGTGACGACGAGAAGAGGGCTTCAGGAGAGAGTTGTGGTTTTGCTCTCAATCCGTTGAAGAAGCGCGTGATTTACCATATGGTAACCTACAGTTTGGGTACCATGGCCACAATCTCACGGCTGGCTTGTCTTTAACGTATCTCTGTGTATCTCTATGAGTCTCTGTATACAGGGTGTTTTAAAAAAAAGAGGGACCCGATTTGAAATTGCTATATCTCTGCAGCCACGAGCCGCCCATGAATTAAACTCCTACCACTTGAAAGGGCAGGGCATAGAGTTTCAATTGATTACCGCTAGATGCCTCTTCCAGCGCACAAACAACACCTGGCCTCAGTCATTCGCAACACAAGGGGCGTGTTGCGTACTGCAGCTCAGCAAGACTGAATCCGTAATTGCGGTGCAGCGTGCGTTTCAACGCCGTTTTGGCATTGATCCGCCAATGTCAAAGAGCGTTCGTCGTTGGTGCCGACAATTTGAGGAAACGGGCTGCTGTTGATGTAAGGGGAAGAGCACAGGGCGACCACGCACCTCAGGGAAACGTGAGAAGGGAGGCGTTTGGGACGAATGTCACGAATTCAACTGTCGTCTCGATGTTGTCCGTACAGCAGGTGGAGGGCACATAGAGCATTTATAAAATGGTTAGTAAAACTTGATAACTCATTAAACCGTTTGTAACTTTTTTGTGTAATTGTAACATGTTGCCATCGTGAAATATACTGCTTTGAAATTGGGTCCAGCTTTTTGAAGCACCTTGTATGTATCTGCGTGTCTATATGGGTTAACGACATGGTCCATAGCTTGGGGCTGCATGTCCACAATCGCCTGGCTTATCTTTCATATGTTCAATTAATGAAGATGTGCGCGTCAGCCTTTTGTTGATGGTATGTTGCGGTTCATGGTCACACCACCAGTATCTTTTAGGAGGAATGTCAAAACCAGGAGGTGCGATGATGATGTGAGGGTCTCGAATGAGGCGTTTCTCCTCCACGTCCGTGTTGTTCAACCGCGTTCTTCTCCCCGCCGGTCCCAATGAGCACGGCTGCCGCGTCTCGGTCTGCAGGCCGCGATGATGTCGGAGGCGGGCACGGCCGGGCCGGGCCTCGGCAGCCCGAGCCCGGGCAACCCGGTGTTCACGGTGCGCGCCGGGGCCGCGCCGCCCGCCTCCTCGCTCTACCGCACCACGGCGCACGACTACGGCGCCCTGAGCCCCGGGCCCGAGGCGGCGCCGTGCGTGCACCGCCCCGCGTCGCAGCGCTTCTCGCGGCACCTCGGGGAGTGCGGGATGCCCCGCGACCGGGCCCTCAACACGACCCTGGACCGCAGCCGCGTCATCGACCACCCCAACTTCCAGCACACGCTCTGAGGCCTCCTGGGGCCAGGGGTTGGGCGACGTGGGTCTGAGTCATGAGTAGGGGCGCCACCTTTTCCACGAACTAAATTCAGACATGTCTCAGTCAGCCTAAGCATATCCAAACTGTATAGTATACTGTAATACAAATGCCAATTACCGGACTGTCTGGGTTTGACCCATACAGGTGGCAAGCCTAGTCATGGGGTTGGATAACTTTGTGTTTGGGTCAGCTTGTGCCTGGTCTTGGAGCTAGTGGCTGGTTGCATACAACTCTTTTGGTAACTTTTTTTGCCCTCTGCTGCCCACCACATAGCTCCGAAGCTTAGTGCTTGGATGGGCTACCACCATGCATCATAGGTGATATAGGCGGCTGCTGTGCTACGTAGTGGGCAATGCAGCAAGATCAACGTGACAGCATATAGCACATGTTGGTCGTCCATCCATGCACTAAGCAAGCTTATCCCATGTTTAGTACTTTTGCAGCCCGTTTTGCCAATCCACTTCTGGATCATAATGTTCTCATCTTGAATGCAACATGCTTTGCAAATATATTTTCAGCACCACTGTTGTGATTTTCTCAAATGCACCAATGGAGTTCACTGAGAGATGAGTGTTTATGCTGCAAACTGTAAGGCATATAATACTCTCCTCATCTGAATAAAAAAATTGTAAATCGATTATATGGTAATTTTCAACACTAAGTCAATAGTCAATATTAATCATTCGTTCATGCTATGCCATGAAATCCAGTGGTTTAGACAACATAGAACTGTAATGCACAAATATAACTCATGTTATCTGTGACATACACTCATTTAAGATGGTTGACCTCTGGAATATTCTTCAAGCGAGTATGATATTTACAAAAACTCACGGCAACTAAAAATAGCATTGTATATTCACAACTCTAAAAGATAAGATCGGTGATTGTGAACTAAAAGTGTTTTTTTCAACCAGCTTGACTTGGAACTAGGCCAGGGCAAAACACCACCATAAGGCCTGGTCACCATTATCCATTTTTTTCCACTGGAACATCCAAGTCACGTAAACATGGGGTCCTCACAACATGGGTAGTTTTATATTATTTGCCATACCGAGCCGAAACCAAGCCATGAAATTCTGAATTCACAATAATTTTTTGTCAGGCTCGGAGACAAGCAAGGCCAGGGGCAAAGTTAATCAATGTCGTTATACAGTGGGTTCGTTATCAGTGCACTGGCAACGAGACTCGTTCAGTGGCATAGCTCGGTTTCTGCAGTGGCAGAACCTGGTGCCCCCTGATCCACATTGGGCCTGTTCGGTATTGCCACGCTGCAGCTCGGTTGTAGAGTACAGGTGCCCCTCACTTTATGCGGTAGTAGATGCGGTCCAAATAAAGGGCGCAAAAAGGCACGAGACAGCTGTCTGCCAATAAGGGCACACAGTACACACAATGTTGTCTCAAGTCCGATCGCATATCCACAGACGAGTTAATTCAAACCACATCTCGAATTTTGGGTAGAAATAGGTTAGCCGCATATATGCGAAATCACACAAACTGAACCCGCATAAAGAAAGGGAAACCTGTTTACGGAGGCCAGGTCACCTCTGGACCAAGCTATTGGAAGCTGGGTTCTGAGGCCAGATCACCACGTGGCACCAATGCCTAATCTTCCTCCTCTCTCCATTCGAGGCTTGTTATTGTCATGGGGAGGTGTGGAGTGATCACCAAGAGTCTTGCGACTACAGCATGAGGCAGAGCTCACACCGGGTTTCTATCCCCAGCTTTAAACCTCTTTGCCCTGTCCGGCCGTTTGTTATAACAAACACTGCAGTGGCTTCTCCAGGATGATAATCTCAGCTGGGAGGGACAGGGCCGTCCTCTCCTCTCCACCGCCATCACGAGGCACAACTTATTTGGGAGAATATGGCACGTTACACGTTATATGCGTCCGGGTGATTCATGTCTTTGTTATGAAACGCTGTTTACAGATCTGCCACTTGTTTTTATTGGGTGCGCTATTTATACCGGCGTTTCCAAGATTTGCCCGGGTGCGATGGTGAGGTGTTGTGCCAGCGGTATCGCCGCCGTGGCTGATGAGTGACTCAACAGCTGCGTACTCCGAGACGCTTCCGTAACATGCCGTGTCGCGTGACTTTCACTTTAATAAACACTTGTCATTAAAACCACCAACATAGATTTCATTTTTAAACTTGAAATGTGTATTTTAAAAATAAGTTACACAAAGAGGACGTTGACACCAGCGCATGAGGCACGCCAGTTGAAATCGTCACGTACTGTATAAGAGCCGTAGCGTGTGACGACCACGGCGCACATTAGCGTTTTACTTTATAGGGAATATTAATGGAATTGAGTTCTTCACCACAACTGTTGAACATAGCATAAACCGACGGTCACCAACAGGCTGAACCTGCACCGGCCAGCGTGAAGTAAGGTTAAATAATCCCGACAACCCATGCATGCAGGCCTCCCACTCAGCAGTGGATTAACAAAAAGGGCTTGTACATCATGATGATGGTAGCAGATGGTTGAGAGAAACGACGGAGTGGCATCCAAACAGGGGAACGACATAGATGAGAACAACTCATGTGCTGGTGCCAGGTGGATTGTTACATTGCAGGACCATGTAAGAGATGACAACGGCTTGGAGAGAAGGCCTTCGTCCAGCAGTGGATTTACAAGCTGCCTATACATGGAACTACGTTTTCAATTCAGATTGTGACAGTATCGCGATCCAAATTTGTCACATTGGATTAAAAAAACATTGCAGTTACATAATTGGGAAAAGGCAACATAGTAGCATCGCCTCTTTCTGATAGACTAACACCCAATTGCAATCCGGTGCTGCGTTCACCTTGTGCCGTACTTGAGTGTGCCTGGGACATACATGCGCTCAATGGGAGACAAGAGTCTTCACCAGCAGCGAGGTGCCTCCTCAGCTGTGGAGCAACACTTTTCCCCAGAACATTCGGGACTCTCAGTCGCGAGGTGCACTGCAACAGAGGCACTCTATAAATATGAAGTGATGATGATACGTCAGGACAGGCCAGGTAGCATAAACCCCGGGAGTGGTGCCGGCATCACCGTGTCTCCTCTCCGTGTGAGCCCTGTACGATGTCCCGGATCCTGCGAGCATCTTCCCTCAGCACCTCATTATCGGGGTCGAGCTTGAGAGCCGCCTCATAGTCCATGAGTCCTGCACACACAGATGATGGATAGTCATCCAGACGGACAGGTTGCAACTTGCGGGAAGATTCGTAATTTGTAGGCATGTAAAGGAAGTAAAAGGTGCAGGCCTGCTTATGCCACTGCTGATAGACGAACCTCCACTATGGGGAGCTCTAGAGAGAGTATTGGCCGACTCTTCAACACAATTTACCCACCACACACAACCTGCCAATCGATGGACTTGCAGTGTCTCCATTTATACTGCTGGGTGGACAGTGGTGGGAGGGGGATTGAGAAACTTGCCACCACTCTTTCAACTGCTGCGCCCAGAGATCGAATTGTATCGGTGACCTCTGGATTGCAAGTTGACCGTGCCAACCGTTAGACCGCTGCGACAGAATCAACGCAGAGAGACCCGGGGGAGAAATTAATCCCTGCCGTGCCGCTGGGCCCGGCTCCACTCACCCTCGACGAACATCTCGAGCTGGGAGAGCGCCGTGCCACGCCGCACGTGCGCCTTTACCCGCGCCACGCGGTTCGCTGGGACTGGCGGTGTCAGCAGCTCCAGCGCCTGGGCAGGAATAAAACAAATGAAGAAAAAAAAAATCACACACGGATTCTGTTAAACGCTTTCCAATGCGCCTTTTTTTTCCCTGGGAAGTATTTAATTTACGATAATAACAGTAGCACTTGCGATAAAACAGCTGGGCTCCAATACCTGCTCTGGTCATCTGATCAATTTGACTGGTTTTGTCTAGGCTATGTCCCTAATAGCAACACAAGTAAATACTAAATGACTGTTCATACTGGATTTTGGACAAGAATTATGGTGCCCCCTCGTTACAGATTGATGGACAGAGCTAAGACAATAATACAATTTTTACTTTCAGTTGGCATTAAAAAAACAGCACCGATCAGGATGAAAATGCAATAGGACACCAGGGCCACAAGCGACTGCTACAACATCGCCAGTAGCGCCAGGCCATGGGTAATGGACCTCTTAAGCTCCCCGCCGCCACGGATCCGCACTGACCAATGTGATGAAGTATGGCTATCGAACCCCACCCCTCCAAGAAAACCCACACAGCCCCTATCCAGCTGTGGATTACCAGAAGGGCTGTACATGTATAAATTAAAAACTGCCAACCAGAAAAAAAGCATGGAACACACAGCACCAATGCATTGAGGAAGCGACAGCTGGACCAGATGTGCCCATCAGTCATGGGGCGGTGACAACGTGGCCGAGTCCTAGCGCTTTTGCCGCTTGTTGCAAAGGTTCGCCATTGGATTCAGCAAGCTGCCCTGGTTATTACTGCAGATGCATTAACAGTTTTTTTATAGTAAGTAAAACAAGTTAAACTCAAAGACGTTATGAATCCCTTGACATCATTCCAAAAGAGTAGGTCATTGTGTGCCAACATCATGGTTCACATTTGACAAAAAAAAAGTACCCGCAAATTACTCACACGTAGCAACATCACCACCGACTGTGAAACTACTGCAGACTGTGAAACACGGTCTTCGTGACCGCCTTGCACTATAAGACTGGCAGAAAATATACATTTTACAAATCATTGTTCAAACTTATGAATAAAAATAGCTGTTTCATTTATTTATTCCATGCATCATTCACTAAACACAACCAATAACGCCCCATTACTGTTGTCACAGTTGCTATGACTGGTTTTGGCGGCCGGTGACGTGTGTGTTCTGTGAAAGACACCACTGGGCAGTTGGAGGCAGTCGCCCAACAGCAACAACGGAGGGTGAAAGAACGATGCTCAACAATAAGCGGAGCAGCTAAAATGCAGCAAGTTGGCACAGTGGGGAGCACAGGTGGTGAATCTACCAGTCATCTCAGTCAACCCATGGCACCTGGGTCTGCTCCGAGACCTCCTGCCTGCGAGCCTTCGACACGTCACATGGCCTCAAAGTGCACCTAGTCTGGCACAAGCACCGTAGTGACATCATCGGGACTTATTGTCAAACGACGACTGTTGTTTGTTGTGGGTAGTGACAGTTTAATGGTTAGCGCCCTGAGCTACGAAGCTGGCAACCGAAGTTTCATTTGCCGCTCAAGGTCGACTCAGCCTTAAAAAAAGTACCTTGTGCAGAGTGTAAACATCGCCACTTGGGAGACGAAGGCGGCTGGGCATGGTGCTGACAACCCCCCCCCCCCCTCGTGTGCCATGCTCGGCTTCATAGGTGCTCGCTAACAGCACTTGCCTCAGCATTCTGTTGAAGGCTACACAGGGGAACTTTGTCTTAATGTTGTGGACAGGTGCCAATTGTGCAGGGAAAGCTGGCGAGCTGACTGGCAGGCAGGCTCTCGGGCGGGCTGGTGGACGGACGGGCGGGCGGGCTGGCGGGCAGGTGGACGCGAGGGTGAGTGCGTTAACGTACCCTGGAGCTATCATGCAGGGCCTTGTGCAGGTTGCGAAGCTTGAGGTGGCACGCGGCGCGGTTGAGGTGCAGCGCCGGATCGACACCACTCAGCCGAATCGCCAGGTCGTACGCATTCACCGCAGCCAGGTAATTGCCCGCCGCAAACAGCTTCCTGTCAGGATGGGTGACGCTCGCTCGTTAGAGACGGGCTCACGTGGGAGCCGCTGCTGTGTGAGGGTGGAGCTGATAGCGCAACTACTGCTGTGCGTGAGGGTGCAGGTGTCCACAGGAGCAACCCACCCGCCCTTTTCCTTGAGCCACTGTGGATCCTTCTCCTCCCGCGAGAGCTCAGGGTCATTGAGGTCACATATTTTCCGGGCCTCCGCCTGCCGCTGCAGCCACTGGGGGCGACACGCGGGTGAGCACAGAGACGTACATGCAAACACAAAAAAATCCCCCATATAATCTTTAACAGATTGTTCGGAGTAAGTGTTGTTAGCGAGCACCTATTAAGGCCAGAACGGCACACAATGGAGAGGTGGGGGCGCGTGCCCAGCACCACACCTAGTTGCATTTGTCTCCCCAGTTCTGATGATTACACATTGCACCAGGTACTCAAGGATGAGTCGACCTTGGGGAGGCCCAAAACCGGTCACCGAAGTTGGCCATGAGCAGGAGTCGAACTCGGGCTACCGGGGTCGTAGCGCAGCACGCTATTACTCTCCCGCTCCCCACACTCACAAATAAATAAAAAAAACCAAAGATCCCCCATACAGCCTTAACAGACTGTTGGGGCAAGTGCTGTTAGCGAGCACCTATGAATCCCGGCACGGCACACGAGGGGGTGGGTGGCCAGCACCACACACACTCACACACGTCGTCTCACGTGCGCACCCTCCCTCAGCGATGGCGAATGGAGAGTCGAGGCGTTAGCGATGGCCCAGGCGCTCTCACCTGCTCCTCCTCGGGGACGCGCGATTCTCGCAACGCCGTAGGGAACACGCGCGGACTGAAGTGAACTCCGATGGCGGCCGCCTGCCGGGGGGGCGGCAACTCCTTCTCCTTTTTTGGGGGGCGCCCCCCACCTGCTGGGAATCACAGAGCGGATGTGTGGCTGCTGAAAAAGCACGTTAATCAGCACGCTGGTCACGTCACTCTGATATATTACCAGCGTGCTATGGTGGTGCACCATGCAAACAGCACGCGGGTACGGATAAACTGTCATTGCGAACAGATAATAAGATTTAAAATAAATAATAATAAAAAACATTCACAAGCATGCTGGTCTACTAACCGCTCCCCACTTGTTGGAGGTCAGCGCTCACGTGACCGCAAACAGCCCAGCAAGTAAACCGATTGCTCTAAGAAGCAATACAGATGTGACGCATTCTGCAATAATGAGCGTTCTCGCTGCCAATCTTATGGTTCAGAGTTGATTTTTGGGATAGACCACGTGATCATCTGATCAGATTGTTGTGGTTAAGACGATTCTCATAACCAAATTTAACACTTAGATGTATCTATTGTATTTCAATCAACCACTGAGTGAGTTGAAACATTGATTATAATCGGTGTGTAGTTACACTCTTGTAGACGTGGCAATTAATTTGCT